ATATGTACATGTGTTCATAACATCATCAAGCCTCTGAGGGCATCCCATCATATCGTCTCGGCTAGTGTGGGAAAAATCATCAACGTATATCAGTTGATCAAGTGGTGGTGCGTATATAACGTTGTAACCTTTTCCCATATCCCATATACATATATATATATATATATATATATATATATATATATGCGCATATAATGCCATCTGGGCATGGGTCAGTATACATGTATAAATGAATGCAATGTATGAGAAGTACGTCAATAAAATCTCTTGGAATGTCATAAGACCATTATGCCTTTGAGTAGTATCATGAAGAAAACTTTTTCAATTTACGTATTTTCTAAGACCCATAAATAGAAGATGTAAAAAAGACACATGGAAATTCAAGAACATAGTCACTTCTAATACTTCTATGAATAGAGTCATTTATGGAAGCTGTGCATTTGCTCGTTTCGTTTATTGTATATATCATGCCAAAAGGAAAGAATGGATAGCCTTAACATACCAGAGCCGATTCTCTTAACAATCCTTCCAACACATGTCAATTGCAGCAATATGTAATGGCGGATCAAAGTAGGGGAAAATCCACATGATATTCTTGAGAAAGATTGTACCTGCTCTCTTAGAATCACATCTCACGTTGTTGTAGCGTTATAAGACTTCATATGAGATTGTTGAGAATCCAAATCCCATCCACTACATTATTGAATCTCTTAATCCATCTCCTTAAGTGATTTTGGAGACATTTTTGTTATAGGGGTGGACCCCAATTTTCAAGGTGACTAAGCCATTAGCTCACAAAATTTTTCCACCTTAAAGTGTGGCTTAAGAGTCACTATATTGGGAAAGGTGGGCTGCCACGTTGGGGCCTCTTTATGCTAATCCAAAGACCATAGTTAATTATCCACAATTCCTCAATCAACATGTTAATCTTCCATTAACCAATAATTAACCAATTAACCACATAATTAAGAATTATCTCAAATTACTTAAAATAGTACTCTCTTTTAATACACTTTATGTACCCAACTATCATAATCATGTGGTACCTTGTATGGCATTAGTCTATAAATGTCAAGTGCTATAGGTCGGACAACATTTTATCCCAAATTGACAACCTTCAATGAAACTCATTTTCTTTGATTCGTTTACCCTTTAATCTTTACGGCACTTACTTATCACCCGTTATAAATAGCATAAATGCTTATAACCTTAAAAATAATCTCATTCCCCAGTCTGCATCGATTAACTTACGACGAAACTTTGACGTACGAAAATGCGAGATTGGGATGTAACATCTCATTTCCGAGCTTATATCAATTTACTTATGGTGTACTTCCATGTACGAAAACATGGGGGTGTAATTGGCCCATTTTTCTGCTCCACTATGCGGCGGATCTGCAGTCCTCAAGTAGTTCTACGGTTGCATAATGGACCGCAGAAATGCCATGTTCTGCAACAATTTTCCTCCAACTCCCCAATACATTGCACAAACCAAAAAGTCAGTACCGCGGCGAAACCCTAGGCTTTAGTTGAATTTTACGGGGCCTTACACCTGGGCTCCTAGACGTGGCACCACTAAACCCTCCAGAATATCGAGACTGCTTGTCCCTCGTCTCCTGCTCTCGGCCTTGCTTACGAATACCCTCGATCCTCCGAGCTATCTCCAAAACCTGCTTGTAAGGAGTTCCCATCTCAATCTCCTGGGCCATAGTGACCTGGATACTATAGTGCAAGCCCGCAATAAACCTATGCACTCTCTCTGCATCAGTGAAGAGTTTCATAACTGCATGGCGAGACAACTTAGAGAACCTTGCCTCATAATCAGTCACGTACATCTGACTCTGCTAGAGCCACTCGAACTGACCCTGTAACTCTTCCCTCTAAGAGGGTGGGATATATATCTCCCGAAAGAGATGTGTGAACTAGTCCCAAGTCAAGGGAGGAGAACTTGCTGGTCTACTGAGAATATAGGACTATCGCCATCTACAGACCCTGCCCTCCAGCTTAAAGGTGGTAAAGTCCACCCCGTGGGATTCCAATACCCTCATGTTGTGCAGTCTGTCCCTGCAATAATCAATAAAGTCCATCTATCCAATACCTTATGCGGTTGGTCTGGGCTCTGGTATAGCTACTGCAACTAGCTGAGCCCTACCAACTGGTAGTGCACCCAGGGTCTGATATACGACAACAACATGCCATGGAGCCTGAGCGGTAGGGGTCCATGCTCCCCTTCCCACCTGAGATGTGGCTGGGCCCGCTAGAAATATACCAGCCTGCATTATAGAGTACATGAACCACAACATACGACCCATGACCTCTTGGAATCCTGGTGCGGACCTAAAATCCGCTAGGGTCGGCTCAGCTGCAGGTACCTCTCCCTGCTCCTCAATAATAGGATCCTTCACTGGATCCATTGGTGGCACAATTGGAGCAACTCTAGGACACCATCATCTGCTGGTAGGAGCTGGAGCCCTCCCCCGGCCTCTGCCTCGGCCTCTAGCAACATGGGGAGCAACTCCTCCATGACGAGTACATTTGCTGCGTGCGTTCTCACCATATGTAAGAGAATAAGAGAAAGATACTTGGCACAACATCAACTGCACGATTGGAGATGAAGAAAGAGAAATTTCCTATCACCCTATAGCCTTTCGAAGATAAGTACGAACATCTCCGCACCGATCTGCAATACTCAATTAGGCATGTCCATGACTTGTGAGAGCTACGTGAACCTAGTCTTCTGATACCAAGCTATCACGACCCAATTTTTCCTATAGGTCGTGATGGTACCCAACGTCACCGCTAGGCAAGCCAACTGTGAACTAGTCATGTATTTGTTCTTTTTAATAATTTCAAAGTATTTAATTTTATTTATTAAAAGAATGATTAGTAGGAATTTACAAAAAAGTAAAGTATAAACTAATGAAAGAGTAAATACAGTGAATTTAATACTCAAAACCATAAGGTGTCTACTAGAATATCCCCAAAACCTGGTGTCACAACTCATAAGCATATGAGCAACTAGTAGAATATACAAAACCTCATATACTATTGTCTGGTATAAGATAGATAAAAAATAAATACAAAAGAGAGACTACAGGGCTTTGCCAAACAAGCACAGAGAGCAGCTCACCACTATGTCTCAGTGTAATGGTGGTACACGCCTAAATGACCGCTATATGTACATGTCTCAAATCGTGCACGGGTTGTGTAGAAGTGTAGCACGAGTACATAAATAGCATATACCCAGTAAGCATTTGGTCTAACCTCGAAGAAGTAGTGACGAGGGGTCGACATCGACACTTACTATGGGCCAATAAATAAAGTACAGAAATTCTAAATAGGCATAGAGTACATCAATAATAATAACGCGATAATGAACAGTAAATAAGTGATTCTTTAACTAGATGTCAATTAAGATCTCCAATTAACACATACTGACTTCAACAAATACGAGCAATCAAGTAAATTATGTCTCAAGTCATGTAAGTAATATTAAGTGTAATCGGACTCCGAGCATTATCACGCACAATTTATGCCAAGGTCATATGGTCCGATCTAGAATAATGTGTACACTGTCGAGGATCGACCGACATGAACCATAGATACATCTATTACACTGTTGAGGCGTTCGGCCCACTCCACAAGAAGAGAGAATATTCTACGAACTACGATTTAACGGTTATTACAAGACTAATACACAAGGAGGCACAACTTCTACCAACAGTCAAGTAACCCGTCAAAACTTAAAGTAAATGAAATTTGGTCTTTTCGAATCCTTTATCAAGTTTCAATATAATTCAAGCACTTAAATAACAAGTAGAGTGCAAATAATACAAGTATTACATGATAGAGTCCTAAACTACCCAGACATAAGCATGATTTGTAGCTACGCTCGGGCTCTCGTCACTTCGTCCATACATAGAACCCACAATTAGTAGCAAATAACAATTTAAACACCGATGGGGTAAATTCTCTCTCACAAGGTTAGGCAAGAGATTTATCTCAATCCCAAGTTCACTTTCCAGTCCTCAAATCACCCTAAAAGCCTCAAGTCGGTGCCAAACACTCCGAAATTAGCCAGATATTGAATAAATTAATCAACATATACTCAAAAGTTCATTAGGGGCGTAAGTCTCATAGAACTAAGCTCCACCTATGAGCTCGGGGCATTTTTATGTTGCCTCGCTCCAGAGCAATTTCCCAAGGCGAGTCACAACAAAGCCTTTTAAAACACTGGTATAAGTTGTATGTAAATTATAGTTTTTGACCAAATTCTAAAAGTTGTATATAAATTGTGAATACCGAATTTATATATATTTTATAAATAACTCTTGTTATTTTTTATAAATAGAAAAGCCTAGCTAAAACAGATAAATATTGTTTTAGTTTTGTAACTATAGGGAAAAAAATCCCTTTCTTAATAGAACTATATTTGCCTCGTCAAAATAGCACGGGCTATTCAGTTTTCGGACTGGTAATTAAAACATAGCCAACATTTGCGAAAGTCATTGAAAGATAGCCATTGTTTTGCTGAAACACGAAAAGTTCCAGCATAATATGCTGGATTATGGAGCTCCTGCATATAAACTTCAAATATATTGTGATGGAACTCCAGCACACGAAAAATTCATGCATAATATACGGGATTATGGAACTCCATATAAACTTCCAGCATATTATGATGGTACTACATCACATTATCAAATTCCAGCATATTATGTTGGAAGCTCATATGTAAAAAAATCGAATTCCAGCATATTATGCTGAAATATTTTCAGATTTTTAAGAGTATTTTTATTCAAATTTTAACTTTACATAAAGAATAGCTAAAATTCGATTACTTTTAAAACTGCGGCTATTTTTCCATTATTAATGGTAAATATGACTATTTCTGATTTTTTCCCATTTGCCTCACCAATTTGGTCATGGGCTTGTCCATGAGGAAATTGGGCCAATCAGCCCAATATTCTGTGGACCGACGTCTGTTTGATTCAAAAATTCCAAGTCATCTCCCGCACTCTCTTTCTTCAGCTTCCCGCCGGCGATTTCCCTATTACCGTTTCAGACTCGTGGTTAGTGCACCGAGCAATCGATCGCTGTAGACGGCGAATATGGCCCCACCGAACTCCGGTCGCACAATATCTCAACAAGCCTTCGATGAATTAGTGAAAGAAAATATTGAAGATCTTGGAATGGACCCAACAGAAGCCCTTGAAGACGCCATTCAAACCCTATCTCTCCAAGGCGTCGATCTCTCCGGTATTTTTAGTTTCTGTAACAGACTCCCCCCCCCCCCCTCTCTTCTCACTAAATCTTACTTCAGTCTGTTTCATGTTCATTCTCAGGTATTGTGACTAGCGTTTCGGGATCTGGGGAGGAAAATCCGGTAATTCAATCACTTGAGAGGCTGAAGGAATTGGATCGTGATTGGAAGCAGGGAGACGGGGATAAGAGCGACGTGAAGCAAATTATTGAATGGTTAGATAAGTTAAATGATGTGTGTAATGTTGATGGATCAGGAAATGCTGCTATAGCAACTAAGAATGGTGCTGTAGGATTGGTGTGTTCCATATGTTGTAAACTTGGGAGTGGATTCGATCAGGGCCTTGTTTCAGCTCTGAAGACGTTGGCTTCTTTACTTCATGGTATGACACATATTTTAAGTACATTAATTTTCTTTGAGGGAATGCGTGTTATTGGAATTTATGCGTAAGTTTAATGACTTTGTTACTTTTCAATTATTTTAAAGAAGAAGAAATAATAAATAGTGAGATGCTGGACGTAATACATCCTTTTTTTTCAGTCACATGCTGTCAGATTTTCAGCACATATAGATGTTTTCTTACTCCACTATTTTATATTGGCCGTGAAACTGAACATCGCAATTCTAGTTCTTGTTCTTGTTAATGAAATGTTTACTTATAGTTTTAGTGTTTTACAACGAATGCTTTTAATTAGGTTAAAATTGTGGATCTTTTTTGTATCTGTTCAGTTGTTCTGTGTAATTTACTGGAGGCATGCGTCTAGCACAAACAGAAAATGAAGGTTTTTGAGCTGATTGTGCTTTTGAGAAAGCAAATCCTAGTTCCTACTTCTTATCTGAAGCATTAGTCGTTAGTACATTATTTGGATATGACAGCATCTATTTACACTTTCATGCATCACTAGCAGGTTTAGAGGATGAAATGATTATGCTTAGTGAGTGTTGTAATATTTTGAAAGTCGTAATGTAGAAATTTCTCAAGTCATAATTTTTAATTTTCATTCGCTTCCCACTTGTGGGATTACATTGGGTGTGTTGTTGTTGTTGTTGTTGTTTTTATGATTTTGATTTGCTTATGAGATGACACATAGATATGTGACTCATACTGCCTAAATATCAGTTCCATACTTGTAAAATTATGGTTGAATATTTTGGCAGTTCTTCATGCCCTTTTGTCTAAATGGGAAAGTTGATATTATCTGTGGTAAATGTCTAATATGCATAATTGTATCATGTGCAGATCTACAGAGCACTGAAATGTTTAGAGAGAGTAATGGTCCAAAGATGGTTATGAATATCCTAAACAATAGGAAAGAAAACATAAGCATCTTGAACAGCGGATTGTCTGTTGTTTCTGCAGCTGCAACTGGTAATGCGGTCCTCAAGGAGGCATTTATGAACTTGAAAATTGATGAGCTGATTCTTCAATGTTTAAGAGAATATAGTAGGGGGAGCATTCCTTATTTATATGACGCTTTACGAGTCTTGCTAACATCTGATGATAATCGTGTTGTGGCCTCTGAAGTAAGTAAACATTAAAGCAGTAGTTGCTATTTCATGTTAATTGCTCATCAGATCCAGAGTTTTGTCAAAGGCGAGCTTAAAGCCCTGAAGCGAGGCTCAAAACATGTTGAGCGCTTTGCCTCGCTTTGTGGGCGCTTTAGTGTCGCATCAAGGCTCTAAGGCATACGTTTCCTTGCTAATGAGTGTAATCCTGAAAAGGCGACATTAAACAATTGAATTTCACTTTATTGTAAATTTTTTTCAATTTCTTTGTCTATATGTTTGTTATTCATGTTTATAATTATTAGTCTTGGACTACACAACAACCCAGTATAATCCCACTTAGTGGGGTTTCGGGAGGGTAGTGTGTACGCAGACCTTACCCCTACCCTGGGATAGAGAGGTTGTTTCCAAATAGACCCTCGACATTCTTCCCTCCAAGAACTTCTCACCTTGCTCTTGGGGAGGCTTGAACTCACAACCTCTTGGTTGGAAGTGGAGGTTGCTTACTATCAGAGCAACCCCTCTTGTGGACTACACATACATATTTATACTTTTTCTCCAGTTGTGCCTTTTTTCATTAAAACCCACGCTTTATTTGCGCTTTGCGCTTAAAGCCCCAACGGACCTTAGAGGTTTTTTGCACTTTTCGCCTTTAATACCACTGAGGGGTCGTTTGGTAGGGTGCATAAAAATAATGTTGAATAGGGTGTATTAGTAATACTGGTATTAGTTATGCTGGTATTGGTTATGCTGACATATTTCTTATCCATTGTTTGGTTTGATGTATTAAAACATTGCACAGTTTCTAAAAGAATTGCTTGTTTACAAAAATGCCCTCAAAACCAGTCCATCACTCTAACTTTTTGAAAGAAACATATGTTGAGAAATGTTTTTATATGAAAAAGTTTAAAAAAACTTATTTGATTTGTCTACCTATATTTTAATATAGAGCTAAATATTTATTTATAAAAAAAATATATGCTAAGTATTTATTTATTTACTAGAGATATAATTTTATTTCTCACTATTTGGATTATTTTAAACTTGGGAGGGAGGTGCGGCGGGGGAAGGAAAACGCTTTCGGAGATCGAGCATTAATATAATAACTAGCATATTTTAATCAAGCATAAATTTTGAAGGACAACTTTGTCTTTAACTAAGCTAATGCATGCATTAAAACCCATTGCATTGCTAATACCATGATTTTCTATGCATTAGTTATGCATAATACCAAATAGGATGTATAACTAATGCTTCCATAACTAATGGATAAGTTCAAAATGTCTACCAAACAAGGTATTATTAATACACAAAGCTAATGCATGTATTATTTTATCTAATGCATCCTACCAAACGGCCCTTGAGTTTTGTCACCATAATACAGGTGGAATACTTAACATGGATAGATTTGTGCAACCTATTCTATTCTTTAATAAGTTTGGGATCAAGCTAATTTTTGAAACTGAACAAGATAAATATGATCTATGACCTGGACCAGTATATGATGAAGTTCCCAAAAGCACCACTTCTGAGCGAGCAGTCTTTCAGGTTGTATCGTTGCATCGACGCTCACTTCTGACAAAAGCAATTCAGTCATTACCACATGAACTATAGAAAACTGAAGATTTCTCCCTATTTTATATTTCCAGACAACCTTGATTATATCACCTGAATAGGAGCTGCATTATGCTAGTCGTACATCATATTTTGACAAAATTCTTAGTTTTTTTTAATATGTAAAGTAAATATACTAAATGTAGAACCAAAAAGGTACTGTGAAGTACGAAGTAAATTGTTAGATTATAAGTTCTTTTGTGGCAAAATAAATGACACAGATCGCTCTTCAAAGTTTAAGCTTGATCATCTCTGACCAGTTTTCTTTAAAAGTGAAGATTTGCAGCTTCATCTTTTTATTTAACTCTCAAACCTGTTCAAATTGACTTTCAATTAAGCAACTATACATTCGTATTTGAGGAGAAAAATATATTTTTAGTGAATCCATTATTGCTGACCCAATGATTGAACTGCAGATCAATGACCCTTGACTCCAGATAAACCAACTATGCATTCAAATGGAGGATGCTGTATTAATATGGAACTTGAACTGCTTATCCTAGATCCACTTATTTACTGATTTATGAATGTTCTGGGTTATGAAGATATCAACTGGGGTGGGAGTTGGTTGAATTGGTATGGTAGGCCGACCTTAAGAGAGTATATGGCTTTAACAATCATGATTGAATTTTTTACATTTGTAAGGCTTGCTTTAAACAGTGAGACTTTGTGTAATGTTATCGTTCTCAACTGTAGGTTTACGGGTACGCCAGAAGGTTTGCCAAAATTGGAATTGTCGAAGCGCTTGTTGGTTCACTTCATGAAGGGATAAAGTCGCCTAGTCTAGTGTCTGCAAGCATCGCTTTGAAGGCTGTTGCTGTTAATGTAAGTACTGAATAATGTAAGAAATATATTCAAGACTCAAGGAATATGTTAATTATATACTTTGCATTTTGCATATCGGCATTCTTAAAGCCCTTAAACTTAAATCTTCCTTGGATCTGTCATAATACACTATCCCTTTTAGACATTACACTATTCGTAATGTACGCCCTCATACGATTATCTTGCAACACTTGTTGCTGGAATCAATAAACTACTACCTTCAACAATAAATAAAAGAAATACACTATCCTTTTCATATCTGGGCACTCTCCCTCCCTGTAAGTGATAGTTGTTGTATGCTAACATAGATCCACATTAACTGTAGTTAATCAAATTTTCTCTGCAGTATTGTCGTCAACTGACTAACCCCGTTAGATGGGCTTATGAGTCTTTAAATCAGGAGATGGTTTTTTCACTAGTCCTCATGTATTAAAGGTACAGAATGATGTTAACCGATCATATTCAGGAGCTAATTGTCAATTTCTCATTTTTATTTTTATTGCTAATTGTCACTTTGATGACTCATCTTGTTTTGGAAGATTGCTACTTTAGTCATAATACACAATGTGTACCTTGACTAGCAGTATTAAGGTATAAATTATCTTATGCAAGGTGCAATAAAAATAAATGAGCTCTGAAGGAAATATTACTATCTTGAGGAAGTGAATATTATTTCAACCCTTAGAAGAATTTTTTTTAATCAGCAACTGCATCTAGCATGTACTCAGCTAGGTGGCAAGGCATTAGTTGTAAGTTCTCTTAGCTGCCGTTGGCTCCACTAATAACAAACTGATGATCATAAAATTTTTCCTGTAGTCAGGGACTTGTAAGTTTGAGTCAGTTTTTTTATAGTTCCTAATTGTTATTCTGTCCTAATTTTGGCTTCAGGATGAAATATGCAGAGCTGTTGCTGATAATGGTGGTATAGATGCAACTCTTCGATGCATAGATGACAGCAGTGAACAGGGTGAAAAAGTTGTGGCCAGAACTTGTTGCTCCTTGTTATCTAAGGTGCAAAGTTGATTATTTATTCAAACATATATGCTCATCTTCCATGAAAATTTGGTAATGTAAGCATGATTCCTTTTGATATGGCAGATTGGCTAATTTTAGCAGCTGATTGTGCCTATGTATTGGTGTAGACAGAAGTCCCAATTGTCTCAGAAGTTTTGGTCATAGCATATTTGTACACTTTAGATTTAGTTTCTGATATACAAATTGAATTTTTCGTGTTTAGTAGATTGAATAATCTGAATCATGTTTCAACCTGTGCATGTAACTTCAGCTTTCTTTTGGTCCTCATGAACTGATTATCTGCTATTTGTCTTCCTACTTAAAATTAAATTTTAATATATTATAGTGAGCAGTTGGCAGGAAGTGACATAAACAAGAGTGCTATTGTAGAAAAGGGTGGCATGGACAAGCTTATTAAACTTGCAACAAGATTTTCTGATGATCCGTCTATGCTACAAGAGGTAATACCATTAGCTGTTACATAAATTTTCTCCAAATCACTATTCTCTAGAAAAGGGTGGCATGGAGAGGTATGGCTGGATATCAAAGACCTCCATCAATTGACTGACTGAATCAATGTTAAGAGAACCCCCTTTTTATATGATGACTTGAAAGAATCACCTAAGAATATATATATATATATATATATTTTCCTTCTTTTGTATCTCTTTCTGTGGATGAAAAGAGTACCAGCAAAGGGGAATATCTAGTATGGAAGCTACTGCAATTTTTGGAACCTGTCGCCCAATAATGATAATCTACAACAATTGAGGGAAAGCCGATTAGTGTAACACTTCGTCACATTTTTCTTCCGGTCATACCCTTCCAACCACCTCGTTAGTTAGAAGCTTCAGAAGGTTAAAAGTGTAGCCATACGAGTAGTTATTTCTTTTTAGTTTCACTCTGATACTATATTTTATTTATATAATATATTACACACAAGTTTCAGCTTAGTGACTGGTGGTGGAAAATGTTGATGCGGTGATGGTTATACTTGAAAACAGGACTATCTGCATGTACACAATTTTGTCACCATAACACCTCTTTGATGCTCTTTCCATTTTCCAGGTCATGTCTATGATTACCGTACTGTCCTTGAGGTCTCCAAATAATGCTGCCCGTGCAGTTGAAGCTGGAGCTGGTGATACTGTTATCCAAGCTATGCAGAGGTTTCCAGAATCAGAGCAACTGCTAAAAAGCTGTTGTTTCATGATTCGAAATCTTGTGGTTAGGAATCCAGAAAACAGGCAAGTGCCACTAGACTTTTTATTTTCTTTCTGCTGATATGTTAAGCATATGGTGTGCCAGTTTGTAAGGGTAGACTGCCAAAAAAAACTTTCCGCACCCGGCATCTGTAGCAAACAAATTGTGCATTATATATCTTTTACTTATACTTTAATCACTTTATCCTGATTAGTTTATATATATTCTCACCTTAATGTCACCACATCATGGTAAAATTATGTGGTTTGGTGCAAACATTGGGTGCTGGTAAGTTTTTTGTCAGCCAGTTTCCTAGGAAATAAGTAGTTTTGACATTGTGAAGCTCCTTGATGAAATTACTTCATGTTTTGTTTTCAGAACTATTTTGCTTGGTAATGGCATTGAGAAGCTCATCAGAAAGGCCAAGATGAATCACAAGAGCTGTAAGAATGCTGCAACTGATGCACTTAGGGATCTTGGACAAGATAACTATAACTTGTAATTCACACCAGTAGTCCAAGCTAAGTTTTTGTTGGTCTCCCCACCCACCCCCACCCCCCCCAAACCCAAGAACCCCGCTCACAGTCCTCACCAACTCTCTAGGCCTGTAAAAGGGAGAAGATCATGCCGTTTATTTTGGATAGATTTGCTTGATCGATGCACTTCCAGATACTCGAATACTTACCGTCTATTATACTTAAAAGATGTATGATTTTATAACTTAATGATTTTGGTTTTGATTATAACTCGAATATCTTCCATATCATATTCAAGTGTACAAGTGTAACTTTTAATTTGAATTCTAAGAAACACAGTTTACTAGTACATGAGCTATTAAATAACGACGTAGTCAAAACTTCTAATACAACTATCTGGAAAGATTGAACAGTGCTAAATAAACTGAGAAAAAGAAGAGTCTAGGTTTGCGGATGCCAAAGCAGCTACCTCAAGTTTCCAACAGGTAATGCTCCAAGCCTAGCAACCATCGGGTCCAGATGTACTTGGACCTGCACACGAAGTGCAGAGTGTAGTATGAGTACAATCGACCCAATATACTTAATAAGTAACAGAACTAACCTTGGGCTGAAGCAGTGACGAGCTCAGAAAGGTACAGTCCAAATCCAGATAATAATAGTACAAGTATAACAGGGAAATGACAATAATACTTAGAGATATCTCATAGTCAGTTTATACAAAGTACAGAAATATAGACATGCTTTAAAATTCAAAAATTAAGCTCAATACCGGTAAAATATGTCAAGTATAGCTACCATGAAGAATGCTACATATCTATGCCTACATAAACAAATACGCATATCAAATGCAATGCATCACAATGATACTCCCATCTACTCACGCTCTCAGGGTACTCCATCTGACTGTCTCAACTCTCACTCATCACACTAAATCACTCAACACTGTATGGTACCTGCGCTCATTGCTGGTATGTCAGACTCCGAACGGGCGGATTCTGCCCAAGCGCTAATAAAACCTGTTGTGGCGTGCAAACCGATCCCATCATGAATCAAATACCTGCTGCGGCGTGCAACCCGATCCCATCATGAATCAATAAAGCCTGTTGCGGTGTGCAGCCCGATCCCATCAATATCACTCACCATCCGACCCTTAATCCCCAACTCAGTCATCAATCTCTCTAGTCTCTTGTGCTCACAAATCTCATGCCAATCAGCCCAAACAATGATAACATGATGTGACAACAAATGATAACAGAGACTGAAATATGATATGCAAATGAATGAATATGATTGAGTGTGTAATTTCAATTTAAGCAAATAATTCAATAGTAGAAATAACCTCACTAGGTCCCAACGGAATAAACATATAGGCTAAACATGATTCAAACATGGATTGCAGCTCAATTACTCTAACACGTAAGGATTACATGAATGGCAATAAGGTTTGATAACTACACGGTACCACGGGATCAACCAAGTCACAATTACTATGATACACGCCCACACGTCTGTCACCTAGCATGTGCGTCACCTTAACACCAACCATATAACACGAAATCCAGGGATTCATACCCTCAGTACAAAGTTTAGAAATGTTACTTACCTCAAACCACACAAATCCCTACTCTAACAAGTCCTTGCCTCGCGAATCGGCCTTCGAACGACTCGAATCTAGCCACAAATAGCTTAATACAATCAATACTAGCTATAGGAATTAATTTCATACGAGAAAGCTAAGTTCTTTTAACCAAAGCTAAAAAGTCAACCAAAAAAGTTAACCCTAGGCCCACGTCTCGGAACTCGATAAAATTTACAAAATTCGAACATCCATTCAATAATGAGTCTAACTATTACAAAATTATCCAATTCCGGCGACAAATCAACCTTCAATCCTCTAAATCTCACTCCCAAATCACTAGTCCAAAGTTCTCCAAATTTCACCTCAAAAACACCTAATCTATGTGGAAAATTCAATGGGTATTCAATATTAATGAATAAAGATGACCAAAAGTTGCTTACCTCTTGAAATTTAGTGTAACCCCTCTCAAAAATCGCCACTAGCCGAGCTTGCAAAGTCCACAAATGAAGAAAACTCGGAACCCTTTTGAATTATAACACTACCAGCACTTTCGCACCTCTGGTCCATGATCCACTTCTGCAGAACTGCATCTGCTAGTTCCGCACCTACGAAACTCACTTAAGCCCCCGACCAATCGCACCTGCGGTTCCCTCCTCCTACCTGCGGGACCGCTTGTGCGGGTCACACCCGCTCCCGTGCTTCCGCTCCTGCGGAGTCCTTCCGCTTCTGCTACCCCACACCTTCCTACCCGTTTGCGCTTCTGCGGACCTTCTTGCGCGGAAGGCGCTTCTGCGGACTTTCTTCCGTACCTCCGGTCCCAGGCTTTCTCACCAACTCTCGCATCTGTGCCTACATGGATGCTTTTGCGGCTACGCACCTGCGGCTAAACCTTCGCAGATGTGGTTACACTAGAACAACTGTCCACAAAAATTTCTCAAGTCCAATTCTTGATCCGATTTCAATCCGAATCACTCCTGAGGACCCGATACCCATCCAAACATACCAACCCATCCTAAAACATCATAGGGACTTAGTCAAACCCTCAAATCACATCAAACAACATCTAAAACACAAATCGCATCCAAATTCAAGCCTATTGAACTATTTGATTTCCAACTTCTACAATCGATGCTGAAACCTATTAAACCAACTCCGATTGACCTCTAATTTTGCACACAAGTCTTAAATGATAGAATGAACCTATTCCAACTTCCGAAACAAAAATCCGAGCCTAGTAACAACATAGTCAACTCTTGGTCAAACTTCTCAACTCTCCAAACTTCAACTTTTCCAACTTTCGCCAAAACAACCTACGAACCTCTAAATCAATATTCGGACACACTCCTAAGTCCAAAATGGTCACACGGAGTTAGCGGACCATCAAAACTCCATTTCGGGATCATTTACACATAAGTCAACATTCGGTCAACTCTTTCAACTTAGGCTTACAACCTTAGGACTAAGTGTCCCAAGTCATTTCGAAACATCCTCAGAACCTAACCAACCACCCCCGCAAGTCACATAACAACAAATTAACATAAAATATGTAATAAATGGTAGAATGGGGCGACAATACTCAAAACGACCGGCCGGGTCGTTACATTCTCCCCCTCTTAAACAAACGTTCATCCTCGAACAGGTCTAGAATCATACTTGGAGTCTAAAATAGGTGTGGATATCTGCTGCGCATCTCCCGCTCGGTCTCCCAAGTAGCCTCCTCAACTGGGTGACTTCTCCACTGTACTTTCACTAAAGCTATATTCTTTGACCTCAACTTTCGAATTTGTCGATCCAAAATGGCCACCATCTCCACATCATAAGTCAAATCCTTATATAACTGAACCGTGTTGAAGTCCAAAACATGAGACGGATCACCGAAATACTTCCAAAGTATGGAAACATAAAACGCTGGATGAACACTCGATAGACTAAGTGGCAATGCAAGCTTGTAAGCCACCTCTCCAATCCTCTCAAGAACCTCAAAAGGGCCAATATACTGAATGTTAAATTTCCCCTTCTTCCCGAACCTCGTAACACCCTTTATGCGTGAAACTCTGAGCAATACCTTCTCCCCCACCATGTAGGCAACGTCACAAACCTTCTGATCGGCGTAAATCTTCCTCTAGAATGCGTTTGCGAAGCCGATCATGAATCAACATAACCTTTTCCAAAGCATTCTGAACCAAGTCAGTACCTAATAGCCCAGCCTTACCCGACTCAAACCAACCAACCGGAGACCAACACTGCCTCTCATAAAAGGCCTCATACGAACCCATTTGAATACTCGATTGGTAGCTGTTGTTGTAGGCAAACTCTGCAAGCCCTAGAAACTTATCCCAAGAATCCCCAAAATCCATGACACAAGCATGTAGCATATCCTCTGATATCTGAATGGTATGCTCGGACTGTCCGTCCGTTTGAGAGAGGAATGTTGTACTCAACTCAACTCGTGTGCCTAACTCTCGCTGCACTGCTCTCCAAAACTGTTATGTGAACTGTGTGCCCCAATCTGAAATAATGGACACTGGCACACCGTGAAGGCGAACAATCTAGCGGATATAGATCTCAACCAATCGCTCCGAAGAATGGGTAGTACCAACTGGAATAAAATGTCCGAACTTAGTCAACCGGTCCACAATCACCCAAATAGCATCAAACTTCTTTAAAGTCCGTGGGAGCCCAACTACAAAGTCTATGGTGATACGCTCCCATTTTAACTCAGGAATCTCAAGCCTCTGAAGTAAACCACCCGGCCTTTGATGCTCGTACTTCACCTGTTGATAATTCAAGCACCAAGCTACAAACCCCACTATATATTTCTTCATTCTCCTTCACTGGTAGTGCTGCCTCAAGTCCTGATACATCTTCACAGCACCCGAATGAATGGAATACCACAAACTAAGGGCCTCTTCAAGAATTAACTCACGTAGCCCATCCACATTGGGCACACAAATCCGACCCTGCATCCGCAACACCCCATCATCCCTAATGGAAAGCTCCTTGGCCTCACCGTGCTTAACCGCGTCCTTAAGGACAAGCAAATAGTGGTCGTCATACTGACGCTCTGTGATGCGATCATATAAGGAAGACCGAGAAACCACACAAGCTAGAACCCGAATAGGATCCAAAACATCTAACCTCATGAACTGATTGGCCAAGGCCTGAACATCTGATGCAAGCTCTCTCTAACCAGCAGGAATATATGCAAGGCTACCCATACTCACCGCCTTTCTACTCAAGGCATCGACCACCACATTGGCCTTCCCGAGATGATATAATATGGTAATATCATAGTCTTTTAACATCTCTAACTATCTCCGCTGCCTCAAATTTAGATCTTTTTGCTTGGACGAGTGCTGAAGACTCCGATGATCTGTAAATACATCACAAGGCCCGCCCTAGAGATAGTGCCTCCAAATCTTTAATGCATGAATGATGGCTGCCAACTCCAAATCATGAATGACGTAGTTCTTCCAATGAGGCTTCAACTGGCATGAAGCATAAGAAATCACTCTACCCTCCTGTATGAAGAAACATCCAATACCAATCTGAGAAGCATCATAATACACTGTGTATGAACCCGATGTTGAAGGCAAAACTAGAACTGGAGTTGTGGTCAAGGCAGTCTTGAGCTTCTAAAAGCTCTCCTCACACTCATCCAACCACCTGA